TGGGGCCTCGGCCCGCAACCGTCACCCAAATCACAAGGCACCGGCCCCTTGTGGGCCTTCCTGCGGGTGGTGGGCCCACTGGAAAGCAGACTTACGTCGCTTGTTCGGGCTGAGCCCGGCTGGGTCCTGTGAGCAAGGACCTGTTCACCAGGTGCTCGCCTGCGAGCCCCAACTCCGGGCCTGGCTCCAGGGTGGGGCCCCAGTGACGTCAATCCGGGCGACTTGAACCTCTTTGATTTATTTATTTTCATCATCAAAGGGGGGGGGAGGAGGATTGAACCGCTATTTGTCTGATCCGTCGCCTAGGACCTGTTTGCCTTGGGAGACCCTACCAGGGGCATTAAGCCCCCGACAACATAGCTCCTAGGGTCATTCGGATACTCAAACCCCTCCACCACGTTAATATTGCGATTCAAGGAGGGGAAGGTTAAACCCATCAAATGTAAACCCAGGCATCCTGTACGTCCTTGTTTGGTACAAACACATAAAAAGCTTCTTTGCACCTTAACATACTCAAAATATCATAACTAGTCATGTGCAACAATGTGAGAATGTATATTACTGATTGAGGTGCCACAGCATAATGTATAAAAAACTGTAGACTTTTTATTCAAAGAACTACAGTTGCCTGCATAAGTAGTAATAGCAATAATAACAGCATTTTTTTAAGATTCTACAATGCTATAGATCTGTATAATGACCAGAAACTTAAAATAAATAAATAAAAGGGTTTAAAGTAATTTTACAATGGCAGCTGGCTCAATAAAGTAGTGGCCCATACTGACCAGTAGCATTGTAGAGCTGGATGTAGAAGGGTTCATCAGTCTCTGGAATGTCATCATCCTCCACTGCCACAGAGATGTTCTTCATCCACTCACCAACACTGTACACCAGCAGCGTGTCATTACTCAGCAAGGTGAGGTCATCTGGTGATGTGTCACCATACTCCACACGGTACATCACTGTGGCAACAAAGTCTGCCCTGCCTGCTCTCAGAACAGTGAAGTCAGCAAAGGCTCCTTCCTGAACCCGCAGCACAAGGGGTTCTAAATGGACAGACATCGAAAGAGAAAAGAAAGCTCTTAGATAACGATAACAATGGTAAACAGAATGCAGCTCAACAATAAGTCAAGAAAAGAAAGTCAACAAAAATGCAAACATTATTCCAGTAAAAGTATTTAAAAAAATCAAATTGTTGCAACTTTCTTTAAATATTTTTTACTGTCAATACTGTTAATAAGTTGTGTAGCACCTGCTACACAATTCTTACCAGTATTACAAAATTAATTTAAAAAATCCATCTCCTTACCGGCAAAAAATATGGGGTCATCATTTTTGTTTATCTGTAAATTGGCCGTACGGTGGTTGCCAAGTCTTGCTCCACCTGTGGTGTCCACCAGTGTGACAGTAAAATTCTCCATGGTCTCGGGGATCTCAAACACAAATCACAAAATAAAGAAAATAGATACATTTACTGGAAAATAAAAAAATAAAAAATCCGAATTTAGTTCAATATTTACCTCATCATCTTCAGAGAAGACAGTGAGGTTTTTCAGGACCTCCCTCTCCTTAAATGTTATGTTTCCCTGTAGAGGACTAACATCTCCAGAGAGGGCTGGCTGTATGATCCACAAAACAGAAACGGCTCCAAAGAAACCCCTATTCCTTACAACGGGATACACAGCTAAAGAAGGGAAGATAAAGAACAAATATTAGATGAGTTTAAGTTTGATTAGGTGCATAAACGCCAAATCGCGCCAAAATCTATATACACAGTCACTAGTACTTAGGTTATTGTCAGATAACCGATAAATATGTTGCTTTAACGGTGTTATCTGGTTCGGCCATTTTCATTACTACATCCATTGGTTTGTATTGTCATTTGTAGGGATTGTTGAAGATCTACTAAATAAACGTAGCAAGTTGTTCCTATGCTATTAACCAATCATGAAACAGCAAATGGTCACACATCAGTCTGTTTGACCAATATAAAATATATGTTTTGGAATAGTAAAAACAGATTAAAAAAAAAAGCAAATTTGGTTCCTTTAAGAACCCCAAGCGCCCTTCAAAAAGTAAAAGCCATGCAGAAACTGATCATTTTGAATCAACTAGAATAACAAAGCACAACATTTACAATAGTACAGAACATATACTGCAGCTATATACAGTTATATGCTGCTACATAATCCATTTTGGGTCATTTTTCACACCACGTGTATATATTATACCATGTGACAGGGGTCATTAAAGGACTCATTCTTCATACCCCAGTGTATCTTGTTGCCCTTGCTCTCATTGATGGCCACCGTTAGTCCTGATTGTTGAAACTCAATGACCCCAAAGGGGTCGTCATTCCTCCTCACTGTGATGTTGACCTCCCTGTGGTTGCCTAGACGACTGGGTGGAGTACTGTGGCTACTCAGAACCACGGAAAATGTCTCGTCCAGCTGTTGTGGGCACACACACACACACACACACACACACACACAGAGTTTTTTATGTAGCAAATAAAGGTTAAAGTCATAATCTTTACAGTATGGCATATAATGTACTAAATGTGAGATCTATATTAGAAGTATGTGGAAAAGATGTTGGTATTAACCTAAATGAGAATTAATTTATTCTGCCTGGCTTCAATAGGAATACTCTCCTGTATCAAATTACAGAAAACTTAATTTTGTTAAACTAAAAACCAGAGTAAAAAGACCAGACGGACGTTATGTGAGTGTTTACCTCAGGAACACCATCACGCTTTGCCACTAGTGTTGCCACCATCTCTCTCTCGCCTGGATTAAATTCCAGGACACCTGTGGCACCGAAGAACTCATCTTGACCAGAAGGCAGGATAGCGTATCGGACCAGCTGTTTTAAAAGCTGTCCCTGGGTTCTGACCACGTGCAGCTCTAAAACCTGACCTTCCTTCAGTGGGAAAAAGATCAACAATTGTAGTAAAGGGGAGAAAGGGGGCTGGAGGGCGGAGTGCTTGCTATGTAGTTGTTTTTTACATGTCAACATATTTTTAGTTTTCAAAGACATACATCGATTAGCCAAGGACCTCTGGAGAATGGAGAAAACTCAAAGACTCCTCCTGGATCATCGTTCTCCAGGATGACAATTTCTCTGCTGGTGAACCCAGCTTTAAGGATCTGATTCTCCACATTACTCCTGGGAATAGCACACATGTAATGAACATGTTACACCACTATAAGCATAGCAAATAAAACATTACAGATCACTTGGTGCACTTTCTTCCCCACCTCCTATTGCTGTGCTCATTCTTGCTATGGTCTACGACACAAAAATACCTTCTACCAGTACACGGGTAGTGGTTCCTTACCCAATTTTTACAGCTTTTCACAGCAGCAGGTCTGCTCTTCAACGCACATATAGAAATAACACTTATTTTGTTTCATTGGTTACTCATTCACCTGATATTCCCAGCTATAAATTATCCGACTTTATACAAGCGTTACAGCATTCTGTTAAGAGAAGTAATAGCGATGCATGACAATGATTTAGATTATTAGATTTTTTAAAAAATCTGTACAATTGTGTCAAACTTATGCCAAAAAACATCTTTAATTTTACTGTATCCACTGCAAGAATGGTCTAAGGTGGACTCTCATTCCTTTTTGGGTCTAACTACTGTTTTCTTATTTTCGTGCTGCTGTTTAGATAGCTTTTAATAAACCTGTCAGTCAGCGGCTTGTCTCCACTCTTATTGCTCCAAAGGGATGTGTGTATGTGTTTTTAAGCAAGGAAAAACTGGAGCCTGGCAAGCGTCACATGACGGGTAAATTAGAGACAAAGACGTGACAGAATGAAGCACTCCAAACAAACAGTCACAGCCAAGGCGCTGCAACACTGATATCTTTGAAAAGGTTGCACAATTAAGTCAGAGTAAATTAAAGAAACGCATAAAGGAGATTCTTCATTTGCGCCCAATAGTCTCCCTCCCTTTTCAGAATTCTCCGTTTTCACACCACAGCAGAATCGCCCCCGCATCCCCAACCCAAATACTCCTCATCACATTGACCAAAGACCACAGAAACCCTGAAGTAGGCCCTTCACTGAAAAACAAAGTCCTGATTCACACCACACAAAGGGTCCATGTTCACCCCACTCCGCACTTACCCGAAGTACACAATAAAGCGTGCAGTCTCGACCCTGCAGGGAGGCAGTGGGAGGGAAAGGGAGATGCCATTCTCATCAGAATCAAGACTAGCAATTGCACCCATCACCAAACTACCTCCACCCATACATAACTTAGGTCACTTTTAGGAGATATTGAATAATTGAGTTGGTCCTTGAATTTTGTCCTTGAAAACATCAACTATTAATGAGTTTTCCAACAGCTTAAAACTCCAACCTGTCCAGGGTGAGCAGTAGAGTCTCGTTCACTTCTGGGATGTCATCCGCCATGACCGTGAGGTTGATTGAGGCGTCGCTCTGTCCAGACAGAAAGGTGACCAAGCCACTGAAAGGTTTAAGGTCATTTTCAGTCGCATCCTTTGGATTGCCCCCGATTGGCTGGAGGGTCCAATAGACTACAGCCTGACCGTCTGTCCCATCACGTCGCAGAGGGAGAGTCACCTGCAACAAACATTGTCAATTTTTTTTTTGTATTGCCAAAAAATAAACAGAATGGTAGAAGGGACATTTTCAATTTGTGGCAAGGTGGATAAAACATTTGTATCTTTTTTTTCTTTTTCAGCAAGTGCTAAAATGTCAAGTTTGTTGCACAGTGGAGTTGAATGAGGTTAGACATCAAAGTTGTTTAATAACTGCTGTAAAATCCACTTTGTCTCAAAAGTGCCTGATTTTTGTAGTGAATATTTCCTCTTAAAGGAAAAGATTATGTCCAATGTCATATCTTACCATGCTGGTATTACTGTCCTCAGGTTCATGAACCACCACACTGGCGTTACTAGTAAAGCCAATTTCACCATTAGCAATGTCAGGTGTGACAGTCAGGGTCTGGTTCAGAGGTCCACCAAACCTGGGGCTGATTGATGGAATCCGAGGATTGATATCAAGGACTTTCAGTGAGTTCAACTAAAAGGAACAAAAATACAATTCACTCAACAGTGGGATCAATAAGAAAACCACCTATTTTAAAGATTAGATTAGATTAGATTAGATTAGATTAGATTAGATTAGATTAGATTAGATTAGATTAGATTAGATTAGATTAGATTAGATTAGATTAGATTAGATTAGATTAGATTAGATTAGATTAGATTAGATTAGATTAGATTAGATTAGATTAGATTAGATTAGATTAGATTAGATTAGATTAGATTAGATTAGATTAGATTAGATTAGATTAGATTAGATTAGATTAGATTAGATTAGATTAGATTACTACTTTATTGCTCCAACATTGTTCAAATTGAATAAACAATAAATGTAAATCTAAATGTAAAATATTGTAATAATGCAGATATAATAGAAAACATGATACATTTAATTATCATACATCAGTATCACAGCTGCACTGATTTTTTGGTTTATTGCACTGTAACAGGATGTATTGCACTTTTTAACACATTTTTTGACAAACAGATTGGACATGGTGATGGCTGCTGTAGTAAATGAGTGTGGATGATGAAGACAGGAGTGAGTGATGTCATTTTGATTTGACAGTGGCTTCTCCTCTGGCTTTAGGAGCAGGGTGATGTTGGTGTGAAGAGTTGTGGAAAATCTCGTGGCGACATTGCATATAGTAGAGTGCCAGTGTCAAACCATTCACACATACAAATGAGGTACTTCAACTTTGGATGGCACCAATTTGACCAGAAGTGGGGACACAAACAGATGGAACAGGTTTTTAGACATGAACGCAAAACACAAGTACTTCTCAAGCACTTTCCAGGGGTCTTTCCAGCATCTACAGCTGTGATTTAAGTTTTGAATATTCGTGGACTTTGATTTAGTGTTTGATTTAGAATTAAACTTATTTGATTTAGATTTAGGTATACTCAAGTGTTGGAGACGTTACATCAGACAGAACCTTGCTTACAGGCCACAATGCTTTAGAATAAATGTTTTATGTACAAAAACCCCTAAAGAAATTTCTCACATCCAAGCAAATTTTGACCTAGATTCTCAAATGGAGGAAAATGCGTTACCTGTATTAAAAAATTAGCTCCGTTCTGCAGAAAGGCATCATTTCTTATTGGTAGTGTGAGATGGATGGTCCTTGTTTGATTAAACACAACATTGATGGTTCTGGTAACATTAAGAACCTGGTCACGGGCCAGGGCTGGATCCACTGGACCTGCAGGAATGTAGAGAGCCGTGAGGGTCATAGACACAACCCCAAGATTCCCACCATCTCTGAGGAAATTCAAAGAAAGGAAGCGGCCTGCGGGTTGGCTTTGGATGCTTTGCTCCTTTGAGGGGTCAAAGTGAAAAAGTCCATAGATGTCATCGCTGTCTTGGATGTAGAACACCATCTGGACAAAGAACCAAATTAGAAAAATCAAAACACAGGTGTTGGTTATGACTGGATTATCTCAGACACAGTTTGATCCTGGTTTTGCCATCTGATCTGGTCACATGCTAACAGCACACAAATGTGATTCAGGCAGTACAGTGACTTTGACAGTAGATAAATGTTTAGCTAATTGATGTTAGCACTGCTAAAATGCAGTTCATTCGTTGCTAAATTATCTTTTTCCATTAACCTAGGAGGTTTGGTTAAAGTAAATGGTGACATGAATTCTGATGAAATAATTTCATAGCTAAAACCAACAACTTTATTTGTTGCTGGAGCAGAATCACAGCAGATTCCCAGCTCTGTTCAATGTCAATGTGATATATCACATTAATGACAATTAACATTGATTAAGTAGTTCATACAATTCCTTTGAGAATTCTTGCACAGATGGCCAACAGACCGCACACGGCTTCTCACCCAGAATTGCACTGAGCATAAACAAGTCTTAGATCTGAACACACTGCATTCCCCCATAGCCAGGAGGCTTGGACAAAGATGCAAGCTATAAAATGTGTCAGCCACTCTTTCGTGAACAAAAAAGACACACACACACGCACACAGACACACTCGTGCATGCACACACCCCACCCACAGAGTGTGCCTGCTGTTTCTGCTTTGTTTTGATTCAGCCACATTAATGGGACACCCACAGAGCAGAGTGTCACATTATGAGGTTGAATTTGGTAGGAAGTGCCAAGTTTGCCACCGTACCTTACGGTAGGGCACACACACACAAACATGTGCTGAGCAGATGCACAACATCTGGAGGGTGTATTCTCTGACTAGTGCATGGGGTCTTTTTTCTTTTCTCCCCACGCTTAAAACCCCATCAGAGCAAACAGGAGACACAACTAAAACATGAATTATTGCCTGATATAAACTGACCTCAGTGGGCTCGTCGGTCTCAGCATTTCCTGTAACAGTATTTGGCAGGAGTTTGAGAAGAAAGGCCTCCGCCTCTTCTGGTTGATCATCTCCTATGAGGTTAATTGAGATCACAGCAGTCACCTGACCAGCTGCGAACCTCACTGTCCCTGCTGTGGGACTCAAGTCGTCTGACACTGGAGAAGAATCACTGGAGTTTCTGCTGATGGACCAGTTGACTGAAACAGCCCCATAGCTGCCTCCATTTCTGACAATGATAATGCCGTCAAACCTGAGAAAAGTGATCATTGACACTTGATTAATATATAGTATATATAGACTTTTATTAGGATACTATTGCATCTAAGCATTCTTAGGAATTTGTGTCAATTTGACGTGTAAATTTAAGGTGTCAAATTCAAACTTGGTCTGACAAGTTAAAGGCCAAAACTCCAAACCTGACCTGTTGAGATTTTTATTTAAATATAATTTTCCATACCATAACTTGGCTGTTGTCTCTCTATTACACTATGAGGCCAATGTTGTTTGTGACTAATGCCTCTCCATTCTTTCTACAGTACGTATAAAAGCAGATCTTTATGACAGAATTGTTGTTTTGTTTCATTTGATTAAATTATATGCTATCAGTTTGTGCTTCCTTTCCAATTGCTGTGCAAAATCCTTGTGTAAAAGCATTCATGTTCATAAACAGTGTACCTCTGTGTAAGGTCTTCATTGATGGTAATTGGATGAATGAGTGCACTGCTGCTGATGGACAGGACACCGTGTGGCTTGTCATTGGGTTCTATGGTCACCTGCACAGCATTAGGTGACACCAACACAGCGTCTCCTCGAATGGTCTCCTCCAGCAAAACCACACGGAAATATTCTGCGATTTCTGGCACAGTGTCATCTGTGATATTGAACAGCAGACTGCTCTTGTAGACAAATGGAGGAAATATGATGGTTCTGACTGGCTGCAGGTCCACGAAATCCACAGCTGGTGTGGCGGTGCCAAGACCGTCACCGATCACCACCATGTAATCCACAAAGACCTAAAACAAGTACAGTCCAGATGGTAAATGATTTGAGGGAAGGAGTTGTTAAATATTTATTTCAAGGTCCAATGTGTGCTTTAAACTCTTGGCCAAACCACATAGAACTGGATCATTGGCTTACCGGAAACTGATACTACAAATCCTAGATGTGTTGCTACAGTAAATATATTGTGATATCAGGTACAAACACATACATCTAACTGCTGTTATCTGTCTTTTTGTTCCAGCAATATACAGTTGTGTTTAAGAATCATGAGTAATTGCAAATAAACTTCACACAGCTATCCTGTGATTGACATTAATTTCTATAAATATATTTTTTATTATACAGCTTAAACATAAGCCACTTAAGTTTTAAAGCTAACTTTTACGCTCACCATTATTGAAAATTATATATTTCTTTAACACCATATAGGCTAAATTAATAACTGGATGAAATAAAGACAAATGACCTCTGAGTCTCCAGAACCAACAAGTGGCCCATCTTCTGTCAGTTGTCCTCTGGTCACATTAAGGACGATGACCCCTGCAGACTCAGGTACCACCATCATAGACTGGGAGAAACGCAGTGGGCTGTCATTACGCCGGATTCTCAGCTGGATACTGCTGGCATTGGGCTTCAGTAGCGCTCCACCTGCCACGCCTGTTAGCATGACTGTGAAAACTTCATCATCTTCTGGGACCTGGTCCATAGAGACAAGACAAACTTTTCAACCCAGTACTTTTATAAAAAAATAATTAGAAGCTCAATTTTTGAGAAACGTGGCCTTGATTTGAAAGTCTTTTCAAACTACTGGCTATTCATCCTGAATGCTGCAGTGCGAGTGAAGCAGCGTTATTGTGTGCTGTGTCCTTCATCCTTCATTATAATGCAATGTCGTAGTCAAGTACCACTATTTCACAGATTGAGGAACATTTGTCTATGTGTGTGTTTCTGGGTATTTACATGGTTTTAATTAAGCAGATGTGTCTTTGTGGCTTCATCTTGCACCAGTGTGCAGTCTCTCAGCTTAATACATACTTCCACAATATGCAATGCAATTTTAAGATTAACACCTTTGAATGGAATTTATACAGAAGCAATGATTAAATGAAAGAATGATTAAATTTAAAAGGAAGAAGCAGACAAAACACACACGTCACGCTTGGGAAATACAGTATATCTTTAACCTGGTCATCCTGGATGAGAATGTTGAAGTGCACCATAGCCTGTCCAACAGGAATGGTGATGTTGCCTCTCTCTGGACTCAAATCCTCAATGGCCGGGTTTGGACCATCAGAGATCTGTGTTATTGGAGGCACAAATCTCAGTGAGACAACTCTCCTGTAATGTTGGTTTAATATAGAGTTAAATCACAATGAAGATGTTCTTAGAGGACAAGTGCATCCCAGTATTTGAAAACCTTCTTCACTGTCTATTTTCCAAATGAAATTTAATGAACAGCATTAGAAACAAATTCCCTACCAATTTAGGACAAGCAGATTTTTCACAGCAATCTATTATCGCACATTGTACAAAATGTACTGCATGGAAACAAAGAATTTCAGCATTTAATGTTTAATAAAGCAACATATTCAAACATAAAACCATTGCAGTGATATGTCCATGCCACTCATACCTCAAAAGTCACAGTCACAGTCCCATACGTTCCCTTCTCTCTGATGAGTGTAAAGGGCACATAACGGTTCATTCCTCGAGGCTCATCAACCACAACTTCCTCAGTCTGAAAAGACAGAGAAATAATTCAAATTTTATTTATTTATTTTTTTTTTTACTTTTAAGGTATTATAATACTTGCCTTTAGGTTCATAGAGGTGGGTTAGCATGCTAGGTTCGCTGCAGAAAATAAAAAATAACTTCCCTCTGATAAAACGACTATGACTGTGATTTCACCAGCAACCACCGGACAATGGGTTCTTCCACATTTATTACCATTTATTTCCAACAGCTTCAGTATTGGAAGGTTTAATGTGAAAACATAAACTGGAATTGAAGATGTAACAATGCTAATAACAATAATATTCTCCTTCTACTGTGTTAGTGTATATAATGAGTAATGATGAATACAAATCATATAATATATAGCTAAAGGAGTCTGGAGCATAAGAGCCTAAACTAAAATAATTAATTCAAAAACATTTGTTTCTTACTGAATTGAAGGCAATTATTCCAAAGGCATTGTCGTTGGAGAGGATGGTGATTGTTGCCTTGTTGGGTGTCCCCACTGTTACACCATTGGAGGAATTCTTAGAGGAAAGTGGGAGTAAAAAATGGTTAGATAAAACTTGACTAAACTTTGATTACAACACCTCTCATGTCACTTAAGTTGATGAGAAAAAACACTTTCAGCGCCTTTGCTACATTCCTGTCTCCTGCTGAGAATACCAGGTGAGAAGACACAATAGCAGGAAGTCCTGGTCTCGACTCGGCTGATGTGTCAGGTTAACTCACAGTGGCAAACTTTCACAGCACTTATTCTGTGCTCCCTGAGCCGGCACTAAGACTTGAGCAAAGCTCAGCGTAAAAATCGGACAGCCATTTTCCATAGCTTACGTGGAATTCTTTACAAGAAGAAGGGGCTGCAACATGTGATCTGTGAAAATAGGCTTTTTAAAGACCACAGCCTTGACTTTTGGTGCAATTTTCAAGGTCCTGTAAATTCACATTCTGTAGATATTTGTAAATATCCTGTAGATTTATTCTTTGGGCTACAGTTGTTCTATTGTTTTATTGAATTTTACTTTTTAGTTTCTTAAAACACTTTCTAAATTCCATCAGAGGTTTGTTATTTATGTTATGTGAAGTACATTACACAAGGGGATCAATAAAGTGCACTGACCCTAACTGTGCACTGAGCTGCTGTACAGTACTGGACAGACTGCACCTGCTCTTGTCCACACCCATTCAAAACTCCTTCTATCTATCATGTCTTGTCATGTCTCATTTTCAAACACAGTAACCACAAGGTTCCCTGGTGAGACGGACTGCACAAGTTTAGCCGTGCAATGTGTTGGATGTATTTTAGGCAGAACTGCTTCTGTACTTGATGTATGGCAACCTTTGCTCCGACCTCATGTAGAGCTCATTTATCCTACAGACAGTTCTTTAGGCAACTGATAGGGCAGCGTTTTACCAAAAGCTTTGTTTCCACTGTAGTGTCAACAGAAAGACTAAAAGAGCCTCATCAGTCTTTGATTCCGGTTTTACACTTGGCAAAAGAGTTGTCCAACTGTAGTTTAACCAGATGTCAGTAAATGCAGAAATACGACGAATATGTTGTGAAGACAACACTGATGCTGAAAGCTGCTCAGGGATGTAACTGTTTCGTAAATATACAATATAGGTAGGCAGCTGACACTCAGTGAATCTCAGTGCAACCTTTGTCTCAGGTCTTTAAGCAGAGGCAGGACTCACAGACAGAGCATTTGAGCCCTTGGCTCATCAATCAAACGTGACAGTTAAAGGTTATATGAAACCATGGCGATAGCCTCTCAGTGCAAAGCATCCACAACTGTGGTGGTGGTAATTCTATTGAGATGGATTTACAGTCAAACTTGTAAGTTTCTATAACGGACATATATGAGACAGTGGCACAGGGGCAAATTATAATCTGCAAAAGAGCAGTTAATCATTTTAGGGGGGCAAACACTACATATTTGTTTGGCAATCAGAAGAAAAAAAAAACTAAAAATCTTGTTAAACAGGCCAAAATGTATTTATTACCGCAGATTTCTTTAAATAGTAAACACACCAGTTATACTTGAAAGAAACCCACCAAACACGCACTGAGGTCAGTGTGGGCAGTAAATGAGAGAACCACTTTAATCTCATGTGTGGTGAGGCAGTGGTTGTCAAAGTTGGTTTCTTTTCACAAAGGTGTGTTTTTGTAGCAGGGAAACCTCACAACACCCAGGCACCACCCACGCCAGCCATGGAAAAGTTCTATAGCAGGCACACATCAAAGAGGCTGCAGCCCGGGGGTCTTACGATGTAACGCCCCCACTCTCTATTGCCTCATAGCTGGGGTTAGGATTTAAGACGGTCACGGGCAGAATCAGAACAGTGGGACTTTGTGGAAAAAGAGCTCGGAGTTCCAGAGGACCGTGAGAAGGGGAGTTATTATCTATCCATTTGGCACACACAGAAGACCGAGAAGGAAGAAATGGCAAACACATATACATAAACTCCTGAGGTGAAGGGACTCTTACCTGGACTGTAAGGTTGAAGGTGAAGGTCTCATCGGCTTCAGGCAAATCGTCATCTCTCACAGCAATAAAGACAGTCTTCCTCGTCTCAGTGGACAGGAGGAAGGCTGCAGCATTAGTGGATTCAAAGTCCCCAGTGTCCACTCCCTCCAGCTGAAGGGAAAAAAAGCAAATCTAAAATTGCACCACTGACCATTCAAATAGGAAACACCTTTTGTCTGTTAACACAAACAATCGTAGCAACTTGTTTGCATTCATCTGAATCTATCCATCCATCCATCCATCCATCCATCCATCCATCCATCCATCCATCCATCTATCTATCTATCTATCTATCTATCTATCTATCTATCTATCTATCTATCTGTCTATCTGTCTATCTATCCATCCGTCTATCTGTCTATTGTCTATCCGTCCGTCCGTCCTTCCATCCATCCATCCATCCATCCATCCATCCATCCATCCATCCACCTATCCATCCATCCATCCATCCATCTATCTATCTATCTAAGGTTGGGACTTGTGTCTTACCAGAACCAATGCTGTGACATTGACTGGGTCTCCCACTCTTTCTACAACCAGCCGGACCACAGCATTGCTGCTCTCATTGACCTGAAACACAGTGGGGCCGTGGAAACGCAGGGTGGCTGACTCAGATATTGTGCCAGGGATGGACAGAGCCAGAATCAACCCAGCTAACAGGAGGACAGGGAGCATTCCTAAAAAAAGGGCAGCAAACAAAAAAGAACCAAAACATTTTTTTTCACAGGGACATGATATATAAGCCTTAATGAATTATAACTAGCATTGTAAAAACGGATATGAGTATATTTATATCAGTAAATGAGTATTTTCATACAAGACATTGACTTGTTCAGCACTAAGGTGTGCCTTCTATTAAATTTCTTGTATTGTAACAAAACAAATTACATAGTAAGTTTTCGTACCTGATGTTAAAATACCTCTAAGCTGCTGACATTGTTCTATTACGTAAACAAACCTTTGGGGTTAATGAGACACTGAACTGGAGAAGGAAACTTAGTAGCACTCTTTGAGCAGTGCTCAGGCAGTTGAGATTTAGTAAAATTTACACTATGCTATAAGGCAACATTTCTGTACTCAAACTTTGGGCAATTAAAACTTTTATGTCAGACAGACAGTATTGAGTAACCAGATGTTCTGAATATTTGCAGGTCTTTTGAAAATGTACAGACAGGCTGGCAGTCAGACTGGCTGGTCATTGTGGTCTACGTGATTCATTGCAGTGTTGTCCTCATGCTGTCATAACCGCTAAAGCAGTTGTTGTTGACTTGACTCTTTCTACACGAACAAATGTGCTCACTTAAGGTTCTCGGAATAATTCAACATGAAGCTCACTGCTGACTCTCTGTCCTCTCTAATTATCATCTCGGTTCCTGTTTCCTCCAATCATCTCTTTCACCTAATTGATCTTTTCTACACCACCTCGTCTCCTCTTTTCCCTCATTCCCATCATCTGCCGCTCAGCTCTCTCACCCGGAATAATCCTGAAGCTGCAGGACGGGAGTGCAGAGACAGTTGTCATGGTTAACACAACAAAAAAACACAGCATGACAAATGGGGTGGAGCCAGTTCAAAGTTAGATGTGGCCACTTTGTCCCATCTTTCCTTTCCCAACTGTCTCAAACCCATCCTGTTCATAATCTGCACCACACAGTCATGCCAACAGGATGAACACATGGAGTCTTTTTATAAAGAATATTTGCTCTTAATTACAAGGTCTAAAAAAGAACATCAGCAACTAGGCTAAATGAAGTCATGCTGTTTGGTTTTTTTAGTAATGTTTTTTCTTGTGAAGAAATCATTTAGGAAAGTTGGACATTAAAAATAACCAATTTTTCACATGTTCCATTACTGGTATATCAATTCTAGTTATTCTCAGCGGCGGCTGGTGTTTAAGTAACAACCAACCATCAATCAGTTTGTCAGCTTACAGGGGAGAGCACGACATGCTATCAGCCAGCAGCTGACAGACACAGTCAGAATCAATGGATGCAGATGTCATGTCAGAAGTGTGTGTGTGTGTGTGTGCCATCACCGGAAA